TGTGTGTGTGTGTGTGTGTGTGTGTGTGTATGAGAGAGAGAGAGAGAAACGGACATCATAAATATTTGCCCTTGAACATTCACTTCCAGTAGCCTGTTTTGCCTCACAATTTAATTACAGTTCAGAAATCGATTTTTTTCCAGTTCTTCCACACCAGTGGCTGGCTTAATGGTTCTGCTGTCACTGGTGATATGTGTCTATAGACCGTAATTATCATAGCACGTTAGACTGAGCATAGCCCCAACTTAAGTAGGATTAGCATAAGACAGAAAAGAGACAAGTTTGGTATTACTAATTTAATATTACTTATATGTTAAATATGGGAAATACAATATTTTAAGCACCAAAGAAAATAAACCTTTATAATTTTATCAGTCCATTTATGTCAACAACATATTTATTTAGGGCCAAGTATTCTTCAAAAGTCGAAGACCTATATCATAAAGTCAACTTTGCTTAGTCTGCTATCTGATTTTAGCAGTCTAAGCAACAAATTCCAAACACTTTTAGTGGGCTTTAAAAGTCCGCCTTACCCTCCAGGAGGGCATACTGCACCTTAAACATTTTAATCCCAAGGTTATCAATCTAATCATGAGATGACACCGGTTAATCCAGTTTCTGTTCTTAAGGAGGACTTAATCACGCCGATTTGTTAGGCATGACAAATTTGTTAGCCTTCTCAGACAGCGGAGATCAATACAGTTGACACTTAAGCCTCTACTTGAATACATATTCTTTTTTTTCTCCGTCCCCATTAAGACTGCAGCCAAGAACATCGCTAGCTATTTGCACGCCAATATTTTGTTGTCTATTGAGTTGGCTGTTCTAGAAAATAAGGCTTCGGGTGGGGAATATTGTAGCCTGTAGCTCATGGGGTCCTGCAACCCCCCCCCCTTTCTAGCTTTAGCTTAAATAAATGAATGAATATATACTAAATGAATTAATAAATAAATAGATAATAATATAAATTAATGTTTTTAAGTGCATTTCCCACTGAACTTCTTATGTACAATCACTGTTTAATAAATGAATAAACAACAAAATGAATAAATACAGTGGAAAAAAAAATGAATAGACAGATGAAAGGTTTTTAATGCATTTAAGTTGTTTGGATTAAAAGTGCAGCCTGATGGCGCCACAGACTAGCGTATACCTAAGAACAAAGGCCCACCTTTAATAAGACCCATTTGTACCATCTTATGCTAGACAGCAATTGTTCTAAATCACCCGAGAGGGAAAGTCAACCCTGTAATGTAAACTGAATTGCTTCTAGTGATACTTGAATGTATGATTGCTCATCTAGGGATGATTTTGGTGAACTACTAATACTTGAGTGAGAGTCGGTGGTGTTTATTGAGAGATGTGTGTGTGTGTGTATGTGTGTGCGCACGTGCAATGAATCTGTACATCATCTACTATATACCACACATCAAAATATAGACATTTACATGTGGCAAAAATACTCTAAGTAAACAAATTTTCCATATGCACATGAAAACGTATGAGTTTGAGTGTATGCTTCTGTGTGTCTGTAAGTGAATGTGTATGCATGTTCTTGTTCGTATTTATGTGCATGACTATGTGTGAGGGTAGTTGTTGTACGTAAACCTACTAGTACACACATTGTGATTGCAGTGTTTGTCTGTTGAAAAACATCCATAGAAATAATATTCCAAAACAGTTAATATTGTTCAGCAACAGCATACGTGATCAGAATGTGTGTATGGTAATTACTCAATACATAAGTTAAGACACCCCCCCCCCCAGAAAAAATTCTGTTAGTAATATTTAAAAATACTGATTTAAAGGTTTTAATGTAAATTGGTTCAGAAAGTGCTTCTTGAAAGCATCTGAAAATGACAAAACCTTGAAAGAAATAATAAGAAATTGAGGTGTTTGAAAATTTGAAGTAATTACAGTATTGATGGAGTCCATTATGTATGATTACTGACATCTCAGACAAAAGGGGAAATTAATGTATAATTTAATAAGGTGGGGTTGCACTTTCAATTATTTACCATGCAAATCCAGTATTATGCCTGTCACTTCATTAGTGCGTTTGTACACAGTTCAGAAGCAGGGAAAATCATTTATATGCCATCTGACTTTATGTACAGTAGAGAAAATAGAAAGAAAGAAATAAAGAAAAAATTAATAGAAAAGAAATACTAAGAAAAAAGAAACAGTTGTGTGATTGATCTTATTTGTCACAATTCATAGTTGCGTGTGTGTGTGCGTGCGTGCATGCATGCATGCTTGAGTGTTAATGTGGGCATATTTCAGTCCAACAAGATCAGAGGCAATGGACCAGTAGATTTGGAGTTTAGGACTACTGTTAAATTTTAGCATAATCACAAGTCCGTAGACAGCTGGAAACTCCACTAGAAGAATTTTCCATTATTTATGGATATAACTCACTTAGTATTACATTTCCCCTATTATGAATTTCCTAGTATTGCAGAATGAATCTTGATTAGGACTGGTAGTTGTCTGAGACCTGGTTGTATGATGTCCTATTAGACTGGTGATCAACCCAAAGATTCAACTATTCTAACTATTTAATTTTAAAAAATCTTTTCAGTATGCAGCTTGGAGCTTGGTGTGGCTGGCATGGAACATCTTCATTATATGTTTTTACTTAGATGTAGGAATTCTTTCTCCGGTAAGTATATTTAGATATTTCACATCAACAAGAAGGAAAAGAAACTGAACCTGAATACTTCTCTTAAATGTGAAAAAATTGTTTTCTCTGTTGTTTACAAAGATTTACTGGGGTTTTTTCTCTTCATAATAAAAATAATAATAGTTTTTATATTTAAAAGAAAATTTTAGTTGTTCTACTAGAGCATAATAATTTTTGTGTACTAGTACTAGTACTTTTGGTATTAAACTTTTAAAAGCATTTTAATTTTCTGATCATCCAGATACCAGTATTTAATGATTAATAATTTTTTTCTTCAGGAAATGACAATATTAGATTTTGGTGTCGGAAAGAAAAGTTGGTGGCAATCAGGCGGGATAGGATGTCGCAGATTAGTCAACCAATCAGATAGTGGCATAAAAGGCCTTGCGTCTTCGACGACGGCACCGCAATATACAGACTGTCTTTTAAAATATCATTATGTGGAAGTTTTACATGCAGGAGTACAATGTATAATGGCAGTAAGTATAGGTGGTGGTGTTTTCAAGACAGGATTGCCTCAAAGCAAAGTGATTTTGAATATAGTCAAGAAATATAATTATGGGACTTAAAATCCTTTGATATACCGGCTAAAAACCTTTAAGGTTGCGTTCTTGGTGTTTTTCAGTTTATCACAAGTTTCAGTTAAAACTTCTGCTTAATGCCATTTAATTATGACATTTTCATGAATGTTTCTATTGATAAAATATGTTTAAATTTTAAAATTATGATAGCCAGGATTTGATTTTAGCTAAACAAAGTATGCACTTTATTTTCTGTGTATGTTTTATTTAAAATAATTACAAAATTTGAGTAATACCTTGAGCAGGGTTTTTAATTTCTGTTTACCAAGACATCATGTAAATCATTTTACTTTAAACTTAGAGATGACTTGTAACTATATGTCAAGAAATGCTCTTACGTTTACTTTAATATTGTAGAGTTCTGTATTAAGAAACACTAGCTGAATCTTTCATTCAAATGAATGGGAAAGTTTTTATATCTCTTTTTTGCCTCTTTTTCTTTCCAGCTTATTGGATTCATAGCAGCGTGCTACGTAATTTACGTCTTTTCTGAAGAAGATGACAGCTGTAAGTATCAGATCTCCATACACACAAGAGTAGCATCTTCCTCCCCACAGCAGAAAAGCACGTCCAACCGCGGTGCCCAAAACGTGCGGGCATATGCTTATACGCCCGCGGGCACTGACAACCTGCGTGTCCCTGGTGACCCTTCTCGTCGAAGCTGGACAATCCCGACTTACGTGTCGTATAATGATCAGTTGGATTACTCATCTGCCCAAAGCACGTTATGACGAGTGTGCGTGTGTGTCGCTGCGTAAGCTGTTACGACGGAAGGTGTGTTTTATGGTATACTATTTTTTTTTCGGTGTTTAGGATAGGTGTCTTATGTTGTCCCGTCCTCCTTTTATTTTTTTTTAGCTACTGGTGTGATCTTTAATGTCAGCCTCACCTGCCTCAAATTCAGTAGAGCAGTCGCTGTCACCTTTTAAGCTGTCACTCTGTCACCTTGTCACCAGTGTCAGCTGTCACCTTGTCACTGTGGCATGTCCTCGGCTACTTAGTCTGTCACCATCTTGACTATTGTCACTTTGGCTGTTGTTATCTCGAGTCTGCCATCCTGATGTGTCCACTGACATGTGACATGTCTGCTGACATGTGACATATGCACTTGTGACATTCCACATGTTCTTTCCTGTGAAAAAAGAAGTGATAGCCACTTGTGGTGGCCCCTGTCCCTTTCTCGTTATTATTGAAAATATAAAATTTTTCTGTAGTCCTCAAAAGTTTCTAAATTCAGTGTTGTTATGCAACTGTGGCTATAGATAGTCATTAAAATTTTTTGCCTTCGATGTTTTTTCTTTAATTTGCGTTATTGTTAATTTTTTTCTATATGAATATTCTCCACTTGAATATTTTTAGAGAGGTGGCTCTCTCAGCACTGAAATTCCAAACCCATTTCCAATGCACCACTTTTTCATGCACCAGTCTAATTGCTCTCATAGTATGGTGGAAAATTAGAATTATTTTTAGTTTGCATGCCCACAATAATAATAATATGTANGTGTGTGCGTGCGTGCGTGCATGCATGCTTGAGTGTTAATGTGGGCATATTTCAGTCCAACAAGATCAGAGGCAATGGACCAGTAGATTTGGAGTTTGGGACTACTGTTAAATTTTAGCATAATCACAAGTCCGTAGACAGCTGGAAACTCCACTAGAAGAATTTTCCATTATTTATGGATATAACTCACTTAGTATTACATTTCCCCTATTATGAATTTCCTAGTATTGCAGAATGAATCTTGATTAGGACTGGTAGTTGTCTGAGACCTGGTTGTATGATGTCCTATTAGACTGGTGATCAACCCAAAGATTCAACTATTCTAACTATTTAATTTTAAAAAATCTTTTCAGTATGCAGCTTGGAGCTTGGTGTGGCTGGCATGGAACATCTTCATTATATGTTTTTACTTAGATGTAGGAATTCTTTCTCCGGTAAGTATATTTAGATATTTCACATCAACAAGAAGGAAAAGAAACTGAACCTGAATACTTCTCTTAAATGTGAAAAAATTGTTTTCTCTGTTGTTTACAAAGATTTACTGGGTTTTTTTCTCTTCATAATAAAAATAATAATAGTTTTTATATTTAAAAGAAAATTTTAGTTGTTCTACTAGAGCATAATAACTTTTGTGTACTAGTACTAGTACTTTTGGTATTAAACTTTTGAAAGCATTTTAATTTTCTGATCATCCAGATACCATAGTATAATATATAATGATTAATAATTTTTTTCTTCAGGAAATGACAATATTAGATTTTGGTGTTGGAAAGAAAAGTTGGTGGCAATCAGGCGGGATAGGATGTCGCAGATTAGTCAACCAATCAGATAGTGGCATAAAAGGCCTTGCGTCTTCAACGACGGCACCGCAATATACAGACTGTCTTTTAAAATATCATTATGTGGAAGTTTTACATGCGGGCGTACAATGTATAATGGCAGTAAGTATAGGTGGTGGGGCTTTCAAGACAGGACTGCCTCAAAGCAAAGTGATTTTGAATATAGTCAAGAAATATAATTATGGGTCTTATAATCCTTTGATATACTGGCTAAAAAACCTTTAAGGTTGCGTTCTTGATGTTTTTCAGTTTATCACAAGTTTCTGTTAAAACTTTTGCTAAATGCTATTTAATCATGACATTTTCATGAATGTTGCTACTGATAAAATGTGTTTAAATTTTAAAATGATGATAGCCAGGATTTGATTTTAGCTAAACAAAGTATGCACTTTATTTTCTGTGTATGTTTTATTTAAAACAATTACAAAATTTGAGTAATGCCTTGAGCAGGGTTTTTAATTTCAGTTTACCAATCATGTAGACATCATGTAAATCATTTTACTTTAAACTTAGAGATGACTTGTAACTATATGTCAAGATATGCTCTTATGTTTACCTTAAGATTGTAGCTGAATCTTTCATTCAAATGAATGGGAAAGTTTTTTATATCTCTTTTTTGCCTCTTTTTCTTTCCAGCTTATTGGATTCATAGCAGCGTGCTACGTTATTTACGTCTTTTCTGAAGAAGACGACAGCTGTAAGTATCAGATCTCCATACACACAAGAGTATCATCTTCCTCCCCACAGCAGAAAAGCACGTCCAACCGCGGTGCCCAAAACGTGCGGGCATATGCTTATACGCCCGCAGGCACTGACAACCTGCGTGTCCCTGGTGACCCTTCTCGTCGAAGCTGGACAATCCCGACTTACGTGTCGTATAATGATCAGTTGGATTACTCATCTGCCCAAAGCACGTTATGACGAGTGTGCGTGTGTGTCGCTGCGTAAGCTGTTACGACGGAAGGTGTGTTTTATGGTATACTATTTTTTTTCGGTGTTTAGGATAGGTGTCTCTTATGTTGTCCCGTCCTCCTTTTATTTTTTTTTAGCTACTGGTGTGATCTTTAATGTCAGCCTCACCTGCCTCAAATTCAGTAGAGCAGTCGCTGTCACCTTTTAAGCTGTCACTCTGTCACCTTGTCACCAGTGTCAGCTGTCACCTTGTCACTGTGGCATGTCCTCGGCTACTTAGTCTGTCACCATCTTGATTGTTGTCACTTTGGCTGTTGTTATCTCGAGTCTGCCATCCTGATGTGTCCACTGACATGTGACATGTCTGCTGACATGTGACATATGCACTTGTGACATTCCACATGTTCTTTCCTGTGAAAAAAGAAGTGATAGCCACTAGTGGTGGCCCCTGTCCCTTTCTCGTTATTATTGAAAATATAAAATTTGTCTGTAGTCCTCAAAAGTTTCTAAATTCAGTGTTGTTATGCAACTGTGGCTATAGATAGTCATTAAAATTTTTTGCCTTCGATGTTTTTTCTTTAATTTGCGTTATTGTTAATTTTTTTCTATATGAATATTCTCCACTTGAATATTTTTAGAGAGGTGGCTCTCTCAGCACTGAAATTCCAAACCCATTTCCAATGCACCACTTTTTCATGCACCAGTCTAATTGCTCTCATAGTATGGTGGAAAATTAGAATTATTTTTAGTTTGCATGCCCACAATAATAATAATATGTATTTTT